CTGAAAAATGAAATTCCCAAATGAGACAGAAAAAATTCAACTTGCAACCCCGATGTCACAAAAAATACCAGAAGGCCTCAAGCAAGCTGTGTGGGCGACTGATGTGCGATAATCTGGACATTCCAAGAGACATGAGACACACACCCCAAACATGTCTGCCTGTCACCAGGTCTTATCTGCTCCCCAGAGAACCGAGAGAGCCAAAATTCAGACAAATTTCACATAGTCAGCATAAAGGTGAACTATAAGGAAGAATCTAAGGAGGCCACTGATTAAATCGGTCTCAGCAATCATCACTGAATGAGGTATAGCTCACAGCGTGCGACTACCCAGCAGGAAGCACAGCCCGTAATAAGTAAGGACGATTAGAGAGGTTTTGCCACAAAATTACCTACTTCCCCTTCTGCGAAATTAGCCACTTAAATACACTGGAGTCAATTAGCTATTTTTGGTTTTTTTTTTTTTACAAACTTTTGCCAGTGGGAAGAATTGGTCTTTTTACCGCAAACTCAATTTAGCTGAAATCTCTTCGCACATCCCTAGTAACGACCATACCATTTTTTCAAAACCAAATACGAGTACGGATACTTTTCCTCAAGTACTCGCCGATACCTTTTTTTTTTTTTAAGTACTCGCAATTGCTGATGCCTTTTTTTTGTGTCAGGAGAGTTTTTCCAAAACAATACAGACTAATGCTTTTAGGACAGTGGTGGAGTGCCAGGGCCAGTTGCAGCTGCTACCCTGGTAGTTCTGCCACTAACTCCAAGCTGTGGAGTGGCTGCAAATCTCAGCAATACATTATATAGCAATGCAGAATACTACTAGCTATACAGGTCTACAAATCCCAGAAATATATTATACAGCAATGCAGACTAATAATGTCAGCTATAGAGTACTACAAAGCCCAGTCATACATTATACAGCAATGCAGAAACATAGACCAGAAACAGCAATCAGTATTTCTAAAGTAGCTGTGGAGTTCAGGTGCAGTTTTGCTGCACCATACCTCTACATACTATGTGCTGCAGCTCTGCTCCGGCATGTTGAGTTGGGAGGAGGGTCTAAGGAGGGGGGAGACGTGGGGAGGGTCTCAGGAGGGAGAGATGTGCGGAGGGTTTCAGGAGGGGGACATGTGTGGGCTGGCAGAAGTGCTGTAAACAGGCAGCGCGTGGTAACCAAGAAGGCTGCTACAAAGTCCCCAGCAGCCACTTTCATTTGAATAATTAAAGCGCTGGTATTGGTTTTTGGTATCAGAGCATTCGCACAAGTACTCATGCAAATGCTCAGTATGGGCACCGATACTGGTATCGGTGCATCACTAATATACATTTATACCGACCAGCTATAACCAGCCATAACATTCTGACCACTGAGAGGTGAAGTGAATAACATTGGATAACTGGTTACAATGGCACCTGGAAGTGGGGGGGATATATAAAAGGTAGCAAGTGAACATTTTGTCCCTGAAGTTGATGTGTCGGAAGCAGAAAAAATGGGCAAGCGTAAGAATTTGAGAGACTTTGACAAGGGCCAAATTGTGATGTCTAGACCACTGGATCAGAGTAACTCCAAAACT